TTGGATGAGATCTCTCTTGAGATTTCACCAAGCAGGGGTATTTAAACCTAGCCAGCCTAGATGGGGGAAACAAAGGAAACAATCATCGCAACCCTAATAGTGGAAATCCCAATCCGTGAAATGAACAGAGTGGAAATTGCTCTGAGTGAATTATAATTGCGCTGGTTACACATCAGTGATAATGACCACACGCAACAAGAACAAGACAACCGAATATCACTCGACTTTCCTAAAGAGTTGAGCCCACCAGGGTTTCAGGATTGATTGTACTTTAATTACCATAGGAAGGCTATTGTAGCTTGTCATGAGAAGTTGTCAAGACTTCTCATCAAGGAAATTGCAGCGATTATCTTTGCTTTAGCAATTTCCCATTTCTAGGCTTTCTAAACGGTTTCTTCTGAAACTACCAAAAAGGGTCTTTTGTAAGTTACTGTATTTCTAAGATAACAAACTCACCCTGCACAATAAAAAAAAAGGTTCCATCCTTTTGTGAAAGTCAGCAGAAAAAGGAACAACAAGTGACCCGAGTGCAAGACTCAGTGCAACAGTGCCCTATTTTCCGTTGCTGTTTCTTTCAGGAGCCATAAAGGCTTTTATAGAAATGGCAATTGTTATTGCTATCCATCAGGAGGAATCAGGCATGGATCTGACAGATGTTTGGATCAAGAAGAATGATGATATCTTCTTCAGTTGGCATTGAGTTCCATTTGTTAACGGATTATCCATTGGGCCTGAAATTTCGGCAGTTGACTTTGGTGAGCATTGTTAGCTTAGTCTATTTTTTTCAAATTTTTCTGATTGTAAGTTTTCGATTTTCGAGTTTTTGATTTTCAAACGACGCAGTGTTGTAACGACTTCCTGTCAAACGAAATCGTTGGAAGTTGATGGGTCTCCTGGAGCTGGTGGCCTCAAACATTGTTTTGCAAATCGTTCGTTTGGCTAGTGACTTTGTGCTGTTGGTGATCTTCAATTACCTTAAAAGAAAACTCCAACAAGTGAGAAGTGAGTCCCAAAAAAAAAATTATTTTTTCAGAAATAACAGTGTTTTGAAATTTTTCACAGATGGCGTTCCTGAGGATCGTGACGTTGTTGCTATGGTTGCTGGTCGGTGTGGGTGCGGACTGCGGTCCAGACGACGGGGTCTTCAAGTGTCGGGACATCTGCGGAGAGGAAGTGCAGGACGCCGGCAGTTACGGACGTCGGGTGACGTTTGTCGGATCGACGCTGTTCTTGGACTGCGTTTGGCAGGCGGACCTCAAGGTGAGTTTTGACAGAGTTTGCAGATACGGGCATAACAGCCTTTTTGTTTGTGCAGGAGGTGAAACTGATGTTGCCAACGGTCTGCGTCGGACGTCGTGTCGACATGGATTGTGTCGTGATGCAGTGGAGGTGGTGCAAGGAGATTGTGCCCCCTGAACCAGAAATCTCAACGGCTGCAGTTCCGCCGGTGGTTGGTGAGTTGTCATCTCTTCAGTTTTTTTTTTTTTTTTTTTACAGCATGAACATCCCACAAATACAACTCATACACATCTTTCATAATACATAATACAGACCCAAACCTCAAACCATAACCATCAATCCCAAAACCAAATTTTCCTTCACCCTTTTAATAAAATATTGTATGTATGTACAGATGAGCCTCGCCCAGTGGCGCCAATGGCCAACCTGGTGGTTGTCCACGTGCTGGCGAGCAAAATGCCGTTTGTGGTTTGGGCGCCGCCCTTGACGCAGCAAAGCATCGTAGTGGCCCAAGAGGTGCCACACGTCATTAGAGCACCGTTGTCGACGCCGGAGGTGACGGTCAACATCAAACATGGTGTTGCACACGTCGAGGCGGACGTGGACCCATGGACTGCCATGGTCCTGGTTTTTATGGGCCTTGGAGGTGCTGGGGCTACGTCTTTGGCGGTCTTTTTGGTCTGACTTGTGAAGTTCATCAGGAACAAGGTTAGCCAATTTTCTTTTGCTTTTTTAATAAAAAATGGTTAACAATACTTTTGCTTTTCATGCTTGCTTTGCTTCTTTGTGCATGCTTTCCAAACATAGAGGAAGAAAAGAATTTTGAAATTAGATAAAGCTAAAGTTAAAGAATGCATAGTAGGATCTATGCCCAATATATTTTTTAATGGGCTAGATTC